TACATAGTTTTTTCGATACGGATTTATCAGATTTAATGTGGAGAAAAAAAAAAAAAAAGTCAATATATGTGTCTGAATATTGCTGCTAAACAAAGTTTTTTTTATATATATATATGTTCCAAGGTATGGAACATAACCTTGACGAGAAGACAACTAGATGTCTGGGAACATTATCAAGTTAAAATATATTGTAATAATATGATTTATTTAATTTGCCTTTTCTTTGGAAAAATCTAGTATTTATTTATATTCGAAATATTGTTTAATCTACAGTAATATACAAATCTGTTTCATCTATTTTTAGTGTTTCTCTAATAGATTGTGTCATTTAAAATGCGACTAAAATTTTTTTCGTTGTACATAGGATATTGATTATCCAATCATCTTCTTTTATCTATAGTAGAGATAGTCGAGCAGATCTTGAACTCAGTCGGGCTTAGATTTGAAAATTTTCTCGTAATCTAATTCGAAAATTTTATACCTGATGAACTCTAGCCGTCTGACCAATATGTAGAGTGCGCTAGTCATCAAATACAAAAAACCTATTCCTTCAGATCATCGTGATTTGGGTGCTTCTTACAACAACATTGGCTCGGTATATAGCAACATAGGTGACTATTTGAATGCACTTTCATTTTATCACAACGCACTGAAAATCTGGGAAAAAGTTCTACCTTCAAATCATCTTGAGTTGGCTACTTCTTCCAATAATATTGGTGCGGTATATTTCAGGATGAATGACTACTTGAATGCATGTTCATTTTTTGAACGAGCTCTTAAAATATTAGAACATTTACTACCTGCAAATCATCCTAATCTTCTATCTGTACGAAGACACCTTAAATATGTTAAAACGAAGTTATAGCTTTTCTTTATGTTTTTTTAAAGAAATAATTGTAATAAAAAGATAAAAGATTCATATTTAATTGTTCAAACAATTATTCATTTTTTTTCGTATAATATCGATTTATCGAGATATATCCACGGCTCAGAAATGTCCAATTCAAGAGAAATGAAGCAGAATCAAAGAATTCAACACATATCTGTAACTCAATGATTTAGACCTTTAAGACTTCCATAGAAATCAGAGAATTCAACGGATGATGTAATTGTAGTCGGGACTGTTGGTGACTATCTTTTCTTTACTGAATTCAATCAAATTTATACTCATACTCACACTCTTCATTCCTTTGAATTTGTTGAATTCCTTCATTTTTCTTGTATTCATAACTTCTGAATCGTTGTGACTGGTGTTCTAAAAAGAAAAAAGAAAGTTTACATTTGATATTTGATCTCATTATGCGTACATTTACATTTAATTCAAGAACAAGAGAAATCCCTATTCTTAAAATAACACTATGCTGTTATGTAAAAAATTTTAAGTTCAAACTTTTGATCGAAAAAGTCTTTTAACTCAATGAACTATTGAAAAGAGATTACGAATGTACTAACCTAGTTCAATTTTTTATGTATCAATTGATACATATAGACTATTAATTATATAATAGAAACCTTTTTCAGCAATCTCATTTTGTTTTTAACATCAAAAAGACTTCCTTATTAACCAAAACTGTTCTCATTTTCAACTAGACATATGATGTCACTCGACAATTGTGATTTTTCTGTGCGTACATATAGTATAACAGACTTGGAACTGATTGAATTTTTCTCATTCGAGCCGGTCGCTTGAAATTCGTGACTTAACTGATGAAAAAATGGGTTTATGTAATCTATCAAGTAAACTACTAGTTCTTTCGAGAAAAAGTTGATTATTATAGTTCCATGAAGGCATACAATATGATATGCATATAACTCTTGAAGTTTCTAGTAGTAACAATTTCAATTTTTGTCTATCACGATCCATATATGCCAATACTAAGAATAAAGAAAAAATTCTTTCAAAATTTTTAATTCAAAAACTGATATTAAATAACATCTCTGTTTTGTTTTACTTGACTTTTTCAAAGAATATATGGTTTCTTTACAAAAATGGATTATGTTTGGTCTTTTCATATTTGAAATCATTATTTAGTACAATTGATATACTTCTCTATTCAGATGAGGCTACTACTCTCGATAGAAAAATAAAATGAACCACGAAGTTTGATTTTTATACTAGACGTCTTAATATCTAGATATTTTCTCTGCTGCTTGAAGTTACCAGATATTATAATTTTCACAAATATTTTCTGATATTTTTGTAATGAATAAATAACCTATAAAAATATCAGCCGTTGAGAGCTTCTGAGAGTGGATTCAAGATAATCCAGAAAATTGACTTCGAGACTTCGAGACATCGAGGTGAAAAACCCGTACTTTAGATAGATTTTTGATTTCTAATGGATAGCTAGTTTTTTGTGACCATAATCAATTCATTTAGCATGATCTAAGGATCTTATTGTACTATGATAAAGCATGATTTCAACATTGAAAGCTAAGGTTTTGATGGCGAGTAGAAATTTTTTTTAGTCGAAAACTTTTAGACTGATATTTCTATATCGTAGAAACCATGAAAATTGATAAAAACGAGCAAAATAGACTAGCTTCAGTGGCCCAAAAGTTGGAAAAAAATGGCTAGTGTAATTTCCAGCCGGTAGTATATTATTTCAATCAGTGTTTTATCCATGGTTTTTTCTTCGGAGGGGCAATTCGAAATTTCGAGAGAGCGAAAAATTTTTTCAGGAGGGGGGGGCAAGCCATATAGTTCGTCGTGCGATGATCGCAAGCCTCGAGGGGGCAAACTCGATTTTCAGAGCACCGCTCCCTCAGGCATCCCTCTGGATAAAACACTGATTTCAATTATAACAAAAGGCATCTATTAGGTTTTGACTACAGAACGCGATATATGTAGGCTTGCAGAGATAGACCTCATCGATCTAATGGTACATGTGCTATCACTTTCTAGTATATACCGTTGGTATGTCAATAGATGACATCACGGTGATGGTAGAATGTGACGAACATGAATCCATCTATTGGCATACCAAAAGTACGCGCCGCAATCTGTTAATACATACACCATTAGATAAGGGAGTCTATCTTTACAGGCCGGCATATATCCCGTTCTATAGTCAAAATCTGATGGTCACCTTTTTGGGGAATATGAGACGATCTATAGGTCTCTCAAAGTAGTTTTTTTTTCTTTTATTAAAAACTGAAAATACCTTAGAACTTTTCGCAGTAATGTTTAGAATAAAAAATTTCTCCAGACAATTAACAAGATTTTTCATTTAGTATATCAAAGAAAAGAAAATATTTGGAATAAATATTGTTTTTATTGAAAGAAAAGTATTTAGTTTTAAGAAGAAGAACTACAATTATATACATAAGATACAAATATAAAGCTTTTGTTTTTGTTTTTTTTTGAAAAAAAAAATCACAATTACGTTTACAACGAATTTATAGAAAAAAAAACGAGACTCGGTGTTCTAAATTCTTTTATTTCAAAATGTCATTTATTTACTCTATGCTGAGCTAATTTTAATGTGTCATTTCCAATCGCTGGTATGGTACGTTCGACACGAATAATTTTTACCGGTTTACTTTCATTAAGAACATTATCTTTTTCACCATTTGTTTCTTCAATAACAACAAAATTTTCATTGACATGATAATTTGATCGTATTTTTTTATATGTTGGTTCTTGTGCGTGAACCATTGATGAAGATTCATCAATAAATGATCGTTTTAAATTATAATTATCATTATGTATTTTTTCAATGAATTGTTCAGAATTAAGTTTTTTATTCATATATTTTTCAACTGTATTTGGATATGTATAACCAGGTGCAGCTGTTTGTTGTTGAAATGTTGATTGATATTTATTTTTTGATGGTAAATATGGTCCATGATGATGATGATGATTATCATGTTCATCAATTGAAAGAAGTACACGAGATTTATAATTATCAGTAACATAATTTGAATGAGTAGATTCTTGTTGTTCAAGTAAAGATTTTCGTGATGATGTAAATGCAGATTGATAATTACTTGATGGTAGGAGTGCATTTTCTAATGATAATGATCTATCTTCGTTTAATGATTTATTTGTTACAGGTGCCCAAATACCAAAAACAACGGCAAAAAATACTGCAAAAACCTAATATAAATAAAAGAAATGAATTCTTTAATTGTTTTTTAATGAAAACAATTTTTACCATTAAAGCTGTACTAGGTCCAGGCAATCCTTTGTTAATCATTGATCGAAGTAAATCTCGTTCTTGTGCTAATTTTCTAAATAAATCAAAAAATTAATATGTCGAAAGATTATTAGAAAAAATAAATCATATGAGAACGAGAAATTTTATCTATAAATCAGAACCGAAAGTCTAGATTTTGTGCAATATGATTCAAAAGGAATGTTGAAGTATAGGAGAAAAAAATTGAAATATCATCTCCCGTACGGATGTAATCATGGAAATGTCATTTTTCTAGTCTTACTAGCACCTCCTTGTAGAGCCTTTTTTTTTTCGAGTTAGACAATATTTTATATTATTTAAATATCTTACTTTTGATCTTTTTCTATAGTTGCCATGCGTTCTTTGAGCGCATTATTTTCATCAACATATTTGGTAATTTGTTTTTCAAGTGCATCAACATATTCTTTTTTCTTTCGACGACTTTCTTGTGCTGAAATCTAAAAAGAAAACAAACAAAAAAAATTTTTTTTTTTATTTGTTTTATGGTGTTTTTTTCTTTCTTAATTACTTTATTTTTAATTTTTCGTCGAATTTTTTTTAAAATTTTTTCTTCAGTTTTATTTAATGGTAATTTTGTTGGAACTTGATAACCTTCTTGTTTAATTAATTTTAATTCTTCATTAGTTAAAACTAATGGACCTGTACTAGGTAAATTCTAAAAAATAAAATATAAAACATAAAAATGAATTTTCTTTTTTAATTTGTTAAATTTACATCAAAATTTGTTAACATTTTTGAATAAGCATTATCTGAACTATCTGGTGAATTTGAACTTGTTTCATCAGGTGATTCACTTGAAGTTGATGGTGTTAATGGTAGAATATCTTCCATTGGATAATCATTTATTGTTGATGATGAAGGATCGAATTGTAAATTATATATTTCCGTTGGTACCGTTGTTGTCCATGGTACAGATTCTATTCGTAATGAATTACCATTTGCAGTTTTATTCGATGTTTGAATAAGAATAATAGGTGTTTTAGTTAATTGATTTATATTAGTTGTTGTTATAGTAATAGGTCGTGTTGTTGGTACTGGTTCCATGGGGTCAGTACCAATTTCACGTGTCGTTGGTTCAGATTCAAATGATGTTAATGGAAGATCAATCGATTGTTCTATAAACAATGATGGTTCGGATGATAAAAAATCATTTAAAAATGCGTCAAAAGCAACAGGATCAAATTGATCTTCTGAATATTCTGAAAAAAAAGAAATAATAAATAATAAATATTACAACAACAACAGCAAAAAAGAAACCTATTGAATATATTAACCTGCATTATCTATTGTATTCAATATTGGACTTATCGATAATGGATCGTTATTAAAATCACTAAGCGTAACTTCATTAGTAAAAAGTAAACCATTTGATGTTGGTGACTTTGGGTCACCAAATAGAATATCATACGGATCACAAACAGTTTCCATCATCATTTTGATAGATTTGAATATATGCGCCTTAAATTTAAAGTTTATATATATGATTCACTTTAATCAACAAATAGAAGATAGTTGATAACGATAAAGAATTTTTTGAAAGCATTATTCATAAGAATTGTTTCTTAATTTTAATTTACATATGTTGAGTATCTATTAATTTTCTTTTTAATGCTCGAGTGAAACATAAATGAATTCATTATCTTTTATTTTATTTTATTTATTGTTTTTTTTTTTTTTTTGAGTATTTTTTGCTTCGTCTGAAAGATGCAAAACTTACCTTATATACGAATAAAAAAGAAAGCAGCTACACCACTGAGCACAATCAGCCAAATGTGGTTGTCGTCAAACTGTAGTGACGTGTCGCGTCTACGATGCGTAAGTCGATTTCTCTTTGCCACGTTGGCAACAACTATTCATTGTAGCGCATATATCGTGACTCATCGCTGTTCTGCTTCCTATGACTCTATGGATAATGCAATGTACGCCATATGAATCAACAGGAATTTCATCATCAATACTCAATACTGCTTTTCGTATAGTAACCGTTGACGTTATCGACAAAGTATTGTCAATATTTTTGTTTTTTATTGCACCAATAATAATATTAACATGAAAATTTTCAGATAAAAGTAATAGATAACTAATATAATTTGAATATTACGTAAAACTACATTAGTCATCATTAAAAAAATAAAATGTAGAAACAAAAAAGAAAAAACCAAAATTCTTATCATGATCAGTAAATAAAACCACCAAGAAAAACAAAATTTTCAAGATGACTAACTCAGAGTATTAAGTCAATTCATAGTTTTAAACTATTTCTACTATATCAGACGTAGAATAGATACCGGTTATTGATTGGTCCGGTTTAATTTATACTACTCAGACTGGTTTCATCTGTGTACCAAAATTGATTATCGAAATATTTCATAAAACATATTTCTCAAAAATACTTTTTTATTAATTTAGAAAAAAAAAACACGAGTTGAAAAAAACAAACTTTCATTGTAAAATAGGTCGTACATTGACAAATGATGATAAAGATTTCTGACGAGATTCATATTGATAACAATTAGCTTTCATTGTATGCATCCATTCACATTGTTCAGTTTCATTAATATTCATAGTACAATATTCATTTGTACATAAATCACAAGAAAAATTTTTTTTAAATGATATACTATATCGTATTATAGTTTCACACATTGTACCACTTAATAGACAACATCGACATTCACATATACCATTATCAATAGGACTATTGTCAATAATAACAGTAGCTAATTCATTTGTATGAATTTCACGTGTAAGAAAAATATGAGCCCAATATGAAACAATAAGTAAAAAAAATAATCCAATAAAAAATGATCTCATAGTTAATTTTGTCTTGGTTAATATGAAATACTAAAATAATAGCTTACTAGTACAGTTGACTGGCAAAAAATAGGCATATGATCATTTATGATAATTAATATATAAAGCGTACTACACAAACAAAAAAGTAACCATATGGACGAATGTTATACACCATTGCTTCTGTCTTTTTTTTGTTGTTCTCTGTATCCTTGCATGAATATTTAGTATATAGTACTACATACAATACTTAATCATGATTCAATTATAGAATATCTGCTAAATATGAAAATAAATATTTCATCTACGAACTTGTAAAAATCATTGTATTACTATTAAAAGTTTCAACAACAAAATAAAATGAAAGTCGAATTATTTGAATATTTTTAATAATAAATACTAAAATAAGTTTATAGAGAATTCATATTGAACACTTTTATTATACAGTATTAATATTTTCATTGAATTAGATTATTTCAAGAATGAAATATATATTTTTATTTTGATAATTATAAAATCAAAATTTCTTTTACAGTTCATATAGAAAAGTTTATTTAACAATGAGAACAGTGATAAATAGTTCGATGCGGATTACAAACAGATTATCTTTAATTGATTGGTAAAAATTGAAAAGATACAGCTGCTTGTCATTGTTGTATATTTATTCCTGTTTCTGTTTGGATTTATTGAAAATTATAATTCGTTTTTCATTTTTGTTTTACCTTGAATTAGTGTCGTCATGATTGATGAGTATCAAATTATGTCAAATTAGAATCAGTTCGACTTGTGAATATAATAATCTCGAAAATGATATATCAGTTGTCTTCAACAGACTCATCAAGTTTACTATCAGATTAGTCTTATTAATGCTATGACTTTTACATAGATGTTTGTACCAAAATATCTTCTATGTCATAATGAAAGTCAAATCTTGATATCATTTCGTATGCGCGAATTATTCAAAAAATTAAGAGACATTTTTTGAGAATTATCCTATATACGATGTATTGACCAAAATTAAAATTCTTGATTTTTTTAAAATATAGATTTGAGAGGTCATCATCTAAAACCGTCAAAATCAAATGTTTAGCTCATGTTAATGTTTTATAGTAAAGTTAGCTTTGATCGACTTTACAGCGCCCTCTACCTACTATCAAGATATAGTGATAAATTTTCTCATAAGTATCTATTAAAGTTATATATCTACAAGTCACAGGGTTTTATCATGCAATATATCAAAGGAGAGATCATCGAAAGCTGAAAAAAATTAGCTATTTAAAATATTGTGAAAAATATCATGAGTTAATAGTCTATAATGTCCGTTTTTGATAGTAAAGGATAAGTCATAACTAGCACTACAATGAAAACATCTCCAGTTCGATTTGCTCGAATGGGTTGATAGTAAAAATTTATTTAAAATTTTCTTTATCATTACGGATAACGAAGACAAATACTATAGTGCAGTTATATTTTTGGCCTTGCTAAAGAAATTTAACCTATCATCAAGTAAGAAAAATACATACGCAGCATCAGATCGATAATTTACATTTGTCATCGAAAATAATAATAATAATAATAATAAGTCAAAACGAATTATATTAATGTATATAAAGCAAAACTTTCAAAATTAATTGTCAATTTAAATGCTGAAATTTATACCCCATAAGTAAAATGCATTATTACAACCTATCAGGCACTAGCTTTGCAAAAATAACCAGTGTTCCATGTTTGAAAATTCGACATTTTCTGACTATTAACTTTATAACTAATTAGTTCTGAAAATTCGTTCTAACTATATCACTATAGTTTGTTTTAATTTCTTCATATTCTCTTCGATGACAACCGAAAATTATCTATGAAACACTAACACATCTATTTTTTTACTTGATAACAGGTAAAATTGCTTTCATAATACCAACAATAATACTTGATAGTAGTATTTACTTACCTTTTCCTTATGACAGAAAAAAAGAACTTTGAATAAACTTCTACTACTAAAAACATCAGTCCATTTGATTGAACTGACGTGAAGATATTTCACTTTTTTTTGTAACATAGTGCTATTTACGACCCGTCCTGTATATCAATCTGCCTCTGTTTCGAAATCAAACGATGCTAAGTTGAATTTTCATTAAAAAAAAGTTTACTGTCAAGTCGATATAAAGAATTCTCATCTCGAAAATATTAAGAGTTTATTCTGGATAGAATTATATAGATAACGAATGCCCCATAAAAAAATCAAATAGTTTGATTTTCCATTTCTGAAGACATCATTCTAATCTCGTTTAGTAGAGAATTTTTCGCTTTACAAAAATGTAGACTTGGTTTTCTGTTTCATTATCCAAGTGAAATCTTCTGCGGACATGTAACAATTTCTGCAAGCTTGTGCTTATCAAGTTCGATGCTAAATGTAAAGTATTTAGCATCAATAAATAGAGAACTGTATGTTCTATACTTCCTAGATCTTTTCAAGGCTCGTAATGATATTATTCAGGTGCAAAAGGCTTGGAACTAGAACCTGATGGAATTTTGTTTTGAATACGCTTTCGAAAGTTACCGTGCTCTATGAACAATTTATCGTTATATCATTGGATGCAGAATTTAATTCTGAACAAAATGATGTAACGTTATTTAAATTGAACAACGAAAATCTTTCGATTATCTATAAAGGCATAGAGTTGCTAGAAAGAGTCTTTTATGTCGTTTTCGAATTTTTACATGAAAAATTGTTCGTTCAATTGTTTTTTTTTAACATTACGAAACATCACTAGATACAGCATATTTCGAATTTTGACGCAAGTGTTACATAAACGTATTTTTAATAATTGTTTTTTTGTTTTCTGATAGTTGCAGTTCAATAACTGAATGGTTGTCAATTTTTTCGATTTTTCTGCAACAAGACAACAACTTATTTGAAGAACAAAGTCGACAATTTTACAGAGCGAAAAATTCTCTATCGGATGAGTTTAGAATGATGTCTTCAAAGAAAAGAAAATCAAAGTGTCCTATTCTTTATGAACCATCTGTTAGTTTTTTTGAAAAAATGGAAAAAATTTCGATTTCCTCCTATATCCTTAAGAGGAGCTACGGGAATTTCGAAAAAAATAGCCATATGATTGAAGTTCATTATTAATAGTCATTTAGTGATGTGGGATTGACATCTCTATATCATACGTTTGCCATTTATTCCTTTAATTCTTCATCAAAAGGATGCTCAATATACCAGTAAATTACAATTAATAATAATAATAAATTTCAATCATATGGTTATGATTAGTATTCCACGCTTTGTGAATATGAATGATTATTATCCGATTTCGTGAGAAATTTTTCTTTTTCAGTAGTCAAGGAGGTCGAAATGGCTTTTTTTTTTCGTTTGTTGAAATAACTGTCTATATAATTCTAGTCAGGATGAAGTGCTAATATCTTCAAGATGAGAATTCTTATAAATGAAGAACACTAAAAAGCATCTGAGATTGTCCTAGAGTGCACTATAAAGTTGATCGAAGTTAACTTTACTATAAAACATTGACATGAGTTAAACATTTAGTCTTGATAGTTTTATATGATGAATCTTTCAAATGCATATAAAAAATGGAAAATTTTAATTTTGACTAGTACTTCAGTTCCTTGGCCTCCTCATGGATGCTCGCTTAATATGATAAAAAAAGTCGTCTATTTAAGGCGTAAGTACTTAGATTGGTTAATTTGAATACTTGACTTTATTCTGAACCTTTAATTATATAGACGAAACAATATCAATTAAATACAAGAATCAATCCTTTAATTAATCTAGAATAAGTTACTCGTCTAAGGAGTGAATTAAAGCAAAACTTCAATTCTACTTTCAAGATTTTACTTCATACATTTTAAATTAATTGGTTTATGCAATCATCATTAATTCAAAAAAAAAGTACTATATCTATAACAATGGTTGAATGAACTCAAAACGTTTATTCCAAGTGAAAAGTCAGCAAAAACTCAGTAATATTAACATAAATATAATGGTTTGAGATATATAATTTGAAAGCAACTAAGTGTTACATAAACATATAGAAAGTTAATAGATTGAATTTCCTGAAACACCTCCGAACACCAGCTTATCTATACTTAAGCAGAAGTTGAGATTAATGAAACTCAGAATTCTACAGTTTTAAAAACAACTATATATAAGAAAAACTTCAAATACTGCTATTTACTTCGAATAAAAGCATAAGATAAGATTAAATTTCATAGAATTCAAGCTTGAATTCAAATAATATTTAGAACAAAAGACTTTATAATAGTCTAATGGAAATTCTCGTTAGTAATTGCTATAATAAAGAAATAGAATGATTCAATTGAACCATACGTAACTCTAAGAATTTTGTCACTTGAAAAAAAAGTCATTTCGTTGACATTTCCTGACCGGAGATGAAATCTTTCTAGATTGATATTATTATTAAAAATCTCAATTGTCAAACATTGAACACATTCTATTGAAAATTTTTCATGACATCATTCCACTTTTTTTTTCCTTGATAAATCTAGTTCATTTCCATCTTTTTTTTTTGTTCTGATTATTTAATTCAAATATATTCAAATATTCATCTTTGTTATTGTTTTCCTTGATGTCCTGGTGTCTTTTATCTTCTTGTCGATCACATCTAACAAAAAAAAACAACATCAACTAATAACCGGATTTTGAATTATTTCATAAGACATCAATCAAATGAAGGAATACATTATTATCTAAAACCAAAACAAAAAACGAATACAAATATTTTCTTTTTGTACATGTTCAGGCTATAGCGACCTCTAGAAAATCGAACGAATGGATAAAAATAAGAACCATTAAAAATGAAAAATAAAACGAAGTTCATATAATTTTTATTTCAAAATATATATCTTCTATCATGCAAATAAAATGACAACTGTCAATTTTATATTATGTTTTTATAAATATTCAAGAAGTATTTAACAATTATCAATTATTATGGACGATTTCATTAATTCAACGATTAATTTATGTGATTCAAACA